CGCCCATGGCTGGTGGTCTTGAATTATCCCAAGCGCACACCTGTGCTGTACGGGTACTGTACGAGTACTGTACAAGGGGGTGGAAGGAAGTAGTGCAACACCATTGCAACGGCTTCCCCCATGATCTCATTTCTGCTTCCAACCCCCTTATTGTGATATCACCTCTATCCTTCACAGACCTCCAAATCTTCCTCAAGAATCAATATGGGGGTAAAAGGAACCCACCGCAGTGAATGTAAGTAGTTTACTTAAATAAATGTACATCGGTAGTTGAGATAATAATAAGATAAAATAAAATAGAGATCAATCCAGAAAACATTAAGCAATGGCGATGGTTGACGAAGAAGAAGCAATGCTTCGAGTGAGAAACTACCCGAGATGACCAGGTCCGAATTATTGCCCTACAAGAAATAGCAGAATGGTCTTTCAGAAAGATAGCTGCCAAATTGGAGGAAAAATCTGGCCTCAAAGTATACCATAGTACTTGTACTTGTATCTATCACTACTACCAGGAAACAGGTAGTCCTTCCAACTACCAGAGAACAGGAAGACCTCCAATCTTCCAAGAGTCTGATCTAGATGATCTGAAGTTTTTTATTATTAAAGAAAATAAAAGAAATAGAAGACTATCTTGGAAAGATATTAAAGAAGTAAAGGGATTAAAGGTCTTATCTAGGACAATCAGGAAGGCAGCTAAGAGTATTAATTTAAATAAAAGAAAACCTCACAAGAAGTAAGTTTTCTAATAAAAATTTATGTTTTTACAAAGCTAAAATATAATTTAGATGGGGTTTGCGCCCTAAAAACATACCAATTAGATTTGGTTGATGTATGAGAAAAAGAACTTGGAAATTGAGAGAGTGGTCTAGAATCATATGGACAGATGAAACTTCTTTCTCTACAGCTGGATTTCGACAGAAAGGATGGGTGATAAGAGAGCCTTCTGAGGAGAGTAATCAGGATTGTCTGGATGAGGTCTGGGAGTTAGGAAGAGATACTGTTATGGTATGGAGAGCCTTTTGTGGAAATTTGAGGTCAAAGTTGGTAGTAGTGCCAGGAAAGATTAAAGTGGATTCTTGTGAGTATACTAAGTGTATACTGGATTCAGTTTTAATTCCTTTCTGGCATGAGTATTGTGAGAGATTTGGTTGAACAAAGATTGTTGAAGATAGTGTACCAGAGTATCAAAAGTAATGTCACGAATGTGGCTTAGCGAGGGAAGGGTTTTCATGTGATACATGGTTATGAGTCACAGGTACATTATTGTTTCACACATATGACTCATTAGGGTCATATGATTTGTTATGTGTGGGATTGGTGATGCTTTCGCACATGGCTCAAGTATGAGTCATGGGACGTGCATCTGACAAGTATGCCTTGCGAGTATGCCTTGCGGGTAAGCCTTGCGCATATGATTTATGTTTTGCACATGACCTCATTGTGAGGTCATGGGTTTCGAGCATGTGATCACTTTGGTCACATGATTAGTTTGTTATGATTTGGTTTCGCACATGTGACCACTTTAGGTCACATGACTATGGGCGGGGGGAATGCTATATGGGGAGGCCGATGTGGCCAAGGAAGATAGGTTCTTCACGCCTTGTTCTAAGTACTTTTCCTCGTCCTTGCTGTCGCTTCGCCCCGAGCGTTTCTTTCGCCATCATGATGGGCCTTGATGCCTTGGATTCTGGGGGAGATATCTGAGTTCGCTCAGTAGTTCCTGGGGTCTTTGGTGTTGAGGTCTGTTAGGTGTTGCGTGGCGGATAACTTGTTTGCGTCTCATTTCGTTGGACTGGTTATCTCACGATACTAGCACTTCGAGCACTCATCACGGTCGCATACGAGCCCCCTTCGGTAAAATGTCTACGGCTTCCTGTCTATCGTCTACTCGCAGGTTTCACGTTCGATTGGGGGGATTGAACATTGTGTTTGGGGGGATCACCCGTGTCGTTCATTGGGCTAGCTCCTGTCTTTTGTTGGGTTTTAACGGAGTCCTTAGTTCACGCGATACAAAACGCCCTTGGGTTAGACTGATGACCTTCCCAAGTATCAACTCGTCGTACCGGCCGCATCATTTCCTCAAGGGAGGGGGCCTCACCGGCCCCTCCCTGCCTCGTTACTTTATGTTTCTACGGTCGGAATCCTACGATGTTGTTTATCACCATTCCCTTGGAAGTTTTGTCCTTGCGGCATATACGGTGGTTCAGTCAGGTGTCACCTCCTAGCTACGGGGGGGATGGCTTTGACCCTGAAAAACCTTACCCCCTGGAGTGGTTTTTCTTTGCTGCCTGGGGTGGTGTGGGACGATTGGCTGCCAGGCACTCCCGTTGTCTGTGCGTCTGGGTGGTTCAGTTGTGGTCTGTGGTTGGCGGCTTCACCCATTGCAAGTGGGGCCTACCTTCCGTTTGTCTGCTTCTGTTCGTTCGCCCTTCCCCATCTTGTCGGGTCAGTTGGGGATGCCTCTTGCCCGTTGTTCGGTCCGTGCCTGTTGCTGGACCTGTGGGGCTGGCTTTGACTGGCTCTACTTACTCTTCCCGACTCGGTTGGATTTCGGTTCGGCTTGTTGGATGGTATGGCTGGTGCCTGTGCCTTCGGGTGTTGGTGCTGCCTCCTTTGTGGCTCCCGGCCGTGGCTAGTGGGCTCCCCTCGGCTATATGGTGCTGGGGGTTGGGGCTCTGTTCGGGTGGCCAAGATCACTGGCTGCCTGGCGGGGCTGGGTATAAGCTGTCCTGTGACCATCGGATGGTTGTTCTGTCTGAGGGGCTGGGGGGACTGGACGGGCTCTGTGGCGTCTGGTGTGTGGGGCTTGGGGGGGGCTGATTGGGGGGGGAGAGGCACCTGCGAGCACCGGTCGGACATGCGTCAGGTTGGGCGATGTCTAATTAAGTGTTTCCGGACCAGTTTGGGCTGCTGGGTGAAGCTGCTGAGTGCTGTAAAGCTCCCCGGCGGACCGCTGGACTGATGGCCACCTGTGCGGATAGTGGATTGCGACCACCTGGTTGGACTTGTTTGGGTTCTGCGTGCTGGGTGTTGTGGAAGTTTGTTTGGTTTCTTTGGTTTGGCAATGGGCATGGCTGGCAGGGGCAAGGCACCACGGGTGGGAGATAGGCCCCACTGACTATTTCGGTCTGTCACCACCTCTATGTATTTCTTTTGTTTATGTGTTTGTGTTGGAGGACAGGCAGCGGGTACAGGTCCTCCTCACCATTACGCTCCTCGGAGGCACTTGGCAAAGTGGGTTTATAGGGTCGACGGCCTGGCATGCGGATGCGAGAGGTGGACATGCTGGTCACCTCCTCTCTGCCATTGTGTCGCCTGTAGTTTATATTTGGTTTGGTTTGTTGTTGGTTTTCTACTGTGGTGGAGGTGTTGCGGGACGGTATTTAGACCGAGTGGTAGTGGTTTTGATTTTGTTAGACGAGGAACCTGGTTGGGTTGGTCTCTTGCTCGGCTTCGGCTACGCTTGGTGCTTGTTGGCTTCATACCAGAGGGGCTACAGACTCAGACCGGGGAGGGTGCTGGGTTGCTTGATGGTCTTGTAATTAGTTTCCGTGTAGGCATGACTCGGGGATGGCAGGTGCGGGACCGTAGACTTAGTTAGCCTAGGATTAGTGGTATACCGGTTAGCCGTATCCCTGTGCCGGCGGGGGCTCGTCATATGCCAGTGTTAGCGGTATGAGTTTAAATAAAATTAGATTGACTTCTAAGTACTTTTCCTACTTATTACTTTAAAGAATATAAAACATCTTTACGATCTTTATCCTTATTGCAACGTTATCGTTACGCCAAGGGAGGCGCTTTACGAAGAAGAGTTAGAGAAAGCTTACAATAGGCTTTCCCGGTAGAAGACAAGGGTCTTGTACTATCGGTAACGTAGGCAGAGGCCTAAAGCTATCGTAAGACAAAGGAAGAAGAAGATAGGAAGAGAAGTATCGTTCCCCGTCGCCAAGCACTAACTATCCAGAGAGGGATCGTTACAAGTAAGTTCTATCTTCTTTCATATATCTTATAATTATTTTATTTTCTGTCTTATCATTATAGAACTACTTAAGAATATAATCTAACTACTAATTTAATTACAGATTTTCTACAAAGTGTAGAAAGAAAAATGAGGTAGATATATTGCCTTAGCCACCACAGTCTCCAGATCTGAACTTGATTGAGAATATCTGGGGAGATATGGAGACTTACTTGGGGAAAAGGTATGGAAGAGTTGCAAGTAGAGAAGAGCTAATCAGAGCTGTGGAGGAAGCTTGGGAAGCTGTTCCTAATGAAAGGTTTATGGGTCTTTGCAGGAGTATGCCAAAAAGGATTAAAGAGGTTATCAAAAGAAAAGGGCACCAAACTCATTATTGATTTATGGTTTTCTTTTTATTTTACTTCAAGGCAATACTGAGGACTATTTTATTTTATCTCCTTTACTTATTTTATTTATTAAATGTTGTGGAATGAGGTAGTACTATACGTTGTCGAGAATATTGATGTACGGAGATTTGTGTTGTACAAGTATCGCATTACTTTTTTCCACCCCTTGTACTCTACGAGCACTTGGGGACCGGCACACATGGATACCGGTACTGTACAGCGCGAGTACGAGCACAGTTCCAGTGCAGTAATCAAGTGGAGTGAGTACCTACAAACACCACAGAACCCATTATGCTTAACGAGAACCAACCACGGAATCTCATCCCTTCGGAGTAATCATGCCGCTCCGGTACTGTACCATTTGCTATGCTCTCACCAAGGCTTGGCCTTGTCCCCAGGAGCCAGCTCCCCGCCATAGATTAGCACCATCGGGGTTTCTAGGCTGCAAGTGTGATACTGGCAGCCGTGCTGTGCGAACGGAACAATTCAACCCCGTCTAATCTCGACGGCTGGTAGCCTCAACTTTGCCCTACCGGTACCGGTACTCGAGTACGGTACGACCCGTATGGTGCCTGCTATTATTGTGGTGATGCTCGCAACCTCCTTGTTATACTAATATACTGTACTCATACCGCGGGAATTATCTAAACAGTCCAAACTGCTTACACCCTGCAACCATGACCAGGGTTCCCTTCAACTACAAGGCCTGAAAAAAACCTAGCCTCAACACCAATCAGTCCTTCCCCCCCCACCCTATCCAGTCATGCAGATACGGTCGATGGAAAGACACCTACCCACTCTCGCATGAAGAATCAGTCTTCGATTTCCGGCAAAAAAAGAAAAAAAGAAAAACCAAACAAAGATCTTACGCTGCATACGGTACTTGTACGGTACAGTACTACGAGTAGTTCTCGAGTACTGTACTCACCCATTCAGCACCCGCAATCGGAAAAAACGCAGACCCTGGCGGTCAGGCATGACACTGCGCTCGAGTAGGTATGATAGGTATGGTAAACAGTTGCAGTACCGGTATGCTACTACGCGACCTATACCATATCACCACCTACCTAGGTCGCCCGGGGGGGATCTGATTACGCCGTAGGGCCCGAATGACGGGGTTGACCCGGCCCTTCTGTAACGGTAGGGGTCTGGACACCGCATCTGGGGATTTGCCCTGATATGGTGGCTTTTGATGCACAGGATAGGCTGATGATGATGATGGTGATGGCGCTGATGGCTACTCCCGATGAATGAATTCCCTGCGGAGTACTCTTCACCCCCACCGCTCAAGTCATGATTTTGTCGTGCAGAGCTTAGCTGCGCAATCGCATTGTACCTGAGTAAGGGAACTGTGGGGGATGGTCCTCTTTTTTTCCCCTTCTCACAATCTAGATAAATAACCTCGTCGATGCCCCTCCGCTTCTGACTTTCACTCCCCACATACGCCCATACATACGTACGTACGTGCGTACTAATCTGCAACTGAAACGACAAGGGGAAAAAAACTTTACACAGTTTACGTACGAGCACATAACCAAATTTACAATGGCGACAGTCTCCCAACCCGCCGTTGCCAATTCCTCGCTACCGACGCCGTTTCCCCCTCTATCGATATTGGAAGCTTTCATACCTAGCTACCTCTCCCCGTTAATCTCTTACTTTGGTCTCGGCAATGCCGTCACACACATCCTCGCCTTCTTCCTCCTCACCACCTTCACGGCAACGGGTTGGACATACTGGTACGACAGCCTTGTGAGCCTCTTCCGCCGGTTCTTCATGTCGACAGCCCAGATCCGCTCCCGGGACGAACTCTACGACCATATGATGGCCTGGGTTGCCGAACAAGAGTTTTCCGCCCGGACACGCTACTTTGTTGCAACAATGGCGTTCGGATCTTTGTTCGCTGAGGGCGCTGGTAGGTCTGAAGATGAGGAGGAGGAACCCGAAGAACCCGATGCGCCCTCTTGGGAGCGGAATCGACGGGCGCCGTTGCAGTTCACTCCGGCACCGGGGTTGCACTACTTCAGGTACAAAGGAAGCTTCGTGATGCTGGAGCGGATCGTCGAGGACAACGACAAGACGTGGTTCCCGCAGGAGATCCTCGAGTTCTCAATTATGGGTCGCAAGCCGCAATTACTAAAGGATATGCTGAAAGAGGCGAGGTCGAGGTATCTCATGAAGGATAAGAGCAAGACTGTAGTTCACAGGCCAAAAGCCCCTGAGGCTGTCGGTTCACCGCCGACATGGGTGCGCTGCCTCGCCCGCCCCAGTAGACCCCTCTCCACCGTCGTCTTGGAACAAAGCCAGAAGGAAATGTTCGTCGACGATATCAAGGACTACCTCGAACCCGGTACTCAGAAATGGTACTCGGACCGCGGAATCCCTTACCGTCGCGGGTACCTCCTGCACGGCCCTCCGGGGACCGGTAAATCATCCCTCAGCTTTGCCGCCGCTGGCCTCCTCGGACTGAAGATCTACGTCCTCTCCCTCGCCAGCAAGGCCCTTTCAGACTCGGGACTGGCAAGCCTCTTCGACTCCCTGCCCCCCCGCTGCGTGGTGTTACTTGAGGACATCGACACCATCAGTATTGCGCAATCAAGAAAACCTGTCGACACAACGGACGAGACCTCAAAGAAGGCCACGACAGACACAAGCACCGATGCTGGCACCAAAGTCTCGCTCTCCGGGTTGCTCAATGTCATTGACGGCGTAGCCTCCCCGGAAGGCAGAGTTCTAATCCTCACAACAAACCACCCAGAAAAACTCGATGCAGCGCTAATCCGTCCAGGCCGCGTAGACATGAAGATCGAATTCAAGCTGGCCGGGGAGGAAGCCATTGCGGGACTATTCATGAGAATGTACGAGGACTATAATTGCCCCATCGCTCACGAGAATGAAGAACCTCTCGTTGAAGGCTCCGGCACACCCGCGCCACCCTACACACCTACTGCCCCTACCGACCTCGCTCTCATAGCGGAGAAGGAGCGCATTAGACTGAAAGAAAAGGAGGCTAAAAGAGCTGCAGAGGAGCGCGCTGCGAAAGAGAAACATTTATTGGAACTTGTGGCCAAGTTTACACAAACCATGCCACAGGAGGTCTTCTCCCCGGCGGAAGTTCAGGGGTACTTGTTGCAGCACAAGAACCGGCCGGAGAGAGCGGTTGAGTGTGCCGAAAAGTGGGTTTGTGATCGGATAGAGGCTAGGAAGGCGGGGAAGATTGATTAATTGGTTGAATATGGTTTGGGCTATGGATATGGTGCGGTGCGGTGTGCTTGTTTTTGTTCCCCATATCTATTCGGTTCGGTATTGTTGGCTTTGATTAGAATTATAACATGATAGAGATATTGAGATTTCTTATATTATTTCTCTCCTTCCATCCTTCTTTCTTTACTACTTTAGCAAGAGCTCGCTTGTTTATTTATCTATTAACTAAACTATTATTTCCTACCTCGGAGTTTTGTCTGAAACCATATCTGCTCCTTTATTTATTTACTTTCTCCCATTGCCCCCTTCCGTCAATCTATCAATACCTGTGTTGCCATCACCACCACCATCTATTAGATACTCAAAGTTCAATTGAAAATTAGTAGCACTTTATACAGCCCCTCCCCGGCACTGCTTCACGAACGATCACTCGCACATTCTGCACAAACTAGATGTTAGAGGTGACAGGATGGATGAGGGTAGCCCAAAGTATAAGTATCGCATGATGGTACCCTGCACGTTTGACAGCCTTCAGGCGTACATCCGTTTACAGCCTCCTCCGCAAAGTTCCCATACGATTATACCCAAGCACTTCGAATCCCTGGCGGTTATTCGCTAACTTAGCCCTCTCTTCCCACACCCAGAATTGCAACAAAACCTTCAACGGCCCAACAAGCACACCTAGGGAAAGCCATTCAATGGACCCCGGTCGCTTTCTGGTTAAGGTATCATTCTTGTAGTACGATACATTGATCGGTATGAGAAAATTACGGGGAAGGTGACTACATCTAAAACTGTCAGATTTATAGCCAAACATGGCCCACGTCTTCCCACGACACCGCCGGTATCTCGCTTGTGGGTATTCCTTGGGCACAGAGCGATCTCACCCTTAATTCACCCTTGATTAACTGGGGGTTGAGTTGTTGCCCCGGTTTTTTCGGGAAGACCGACTTGCTCTGAGAAGATAAATCCACCTTCAAGTGAGATAGGTTTTACCCACTGCAGTCGTTCTAGTATCCGTCCGGGAGGCCACCCGGTGTAGGAGAGGGAAGGTAACTTAATCCTGAACAGACCCAACAGCGTTCGTACAATGTTGGATGTGTTAATAACTTAATGCCGAGCGATTGCCAATGATCATGCACAGACTCCGTTCCAAGTTTGCCATTTAACAACAGAACGGAACTTCCTACCTACATGACTGCAGAAAAAAAAAGTACTCTCCACCGCCTATCGACACTGGGGATAACTTCAGCTCAGTGAACCGCAACTGGCCCCCTTCCAATATCGAAGGTTCTATGTGCACGCACAATATCGCACGGTAAATGACTGGGTACAGATATGTGTTAACCGGAGGAAATGCGATTTTCTCGAAAAAGCGACCCCCCCGCGCTCTAAACAGGTGTCGGGAACATGTCTTAACACACCTAGCAGGAAGCCTACCAACCCAGCGCCACCACGAAAGGGTTTTTTTTCAAGATTTTGAGGAAAACTGAAGCCCCATAATTGTCCTCTGCGGCAAAGAATATTCCCAAATTATAGGAGTGTTTTCCGGTTGGCTTGACCTAATTTCTGTACAAAATTATTATTTTCCGTATGCCTTTTTTTTTTTGAAGGGGCTTATGATACATGTATGAAAATTTGCTTCGCCATAAAAGCCTAACATTTGAAGGTACTGGTACCTGTATTATCAGGAGCACTGCACTAACTAGTATAAGAGTGGTTTCCTCGCTTGAGTACATAGCAACCCGGCTGGCGCAATGGTAGCGCGTCAGACTTCTAATTTCCTCGGAGAACTCGATATCTGAAGGTTGTGGGTTCGACCCCCACGTTGGGTTTTTCATATTTTTGGGTGTTGTCGGGCATTATTATCGTAGACGGGCTGGAAAAGGTTTGGCAGCAACGCAGTTACTCGACTATTCCGACCAACCAACGGACCTCGCGACCATTATTATCCAAATAAGCATCGGTTGTGTCATTGACTACGACAGAGTGTTTTTGAGCTCGTTATGCGGTTGACTACAGTAGAGTTTCCTCGCTCACATTTCCTTTCTCTTTGCTACTATGTTGTGTAGTATTGTTGTTGATTTTCCTTTCTCTTGCGCAAAGCGCATGTCATGGGTGATTGTAGCGCGCTCTCCTGTAGCATAAATTGGGTCCAAGAGTCCCCCAGTAGAGCATCAATCAAGCAAGAAGTACTCGTTCAACTTCAAACAAGAATTACAACAAAAAGAAATGCACGATTCTGAAGGGATTCTTGGGATTTTAAGCACTGGTAATCCAGGATGTACTGCTCTGTACTGAGCTCAATTTCATAATTCTTATCTTGCTCTAACTTATCTTACTAATGGTAAGACGACCCGCTGGTATCAGTCCCTAGTCGTTCGTGTCTACCAGGTCTTGCTCTCTTCCACTGATATTGGCCGTCAGATCACCACCACCTTACAAGACCTTACTGATTGATACCTGTTATCCGCCCTTTTGTTGGACGGAAACCTTTCTCGGCTGCTTACCGCATATCTCCCTTACAGCAAGGACTCCAGAACCCTAACCCTTCTGACCTATATCAACTATGATACTCTGATGCCTATGTTTGACTATGGGTTAGTCCTACACATCAAACAACTCCTCCGACAACTCCTGTGACAACTCCATTTGAAGACCTTACTCCTACCCTGTGGAAATACTGAACATTCTCAGCCATACTCCAAATCTTATACTAGGTCAGAACATACCCTCAGTCGAATCCTCTCATCCTCAGCAAAAGTAGCACAATGGGCAGCAGTGGGTTTGAGCATGATGAAGAACATGGCATATGCTGGAAGTATATGGAAGTATGTGAATATTCCCTTTGTTAGTTGTTTTCGTTCATTATCCAATTTGTCTCTCTTTCGTCTGTTACCTATATTTGGGTCAATCAGCCTTTCCTTTCATTTTATTACCTATTTCTTCATGAGAATATTTCACCGGTTAGGATATTCAATACAATCTTCGCATGTTTGTCTAGCCATTCAATTTGAGTTATCAGTGTCCAAATCGCTGCTGTAAGCTTGAAGACTTTTCAACCGTGCCCAATGATACTTTGTCGGCACATTTGGTTCCATACATTTGGCGATGGTATTGGCAACAACGATCACCCTGTTGTCTCCTACTAACAATTTTCGAGCATGGCTGCCAGCGGTATTGCATATAGGCAAAAATCAGCCAGATTCCAGGGAGCCCTAACCTTTGGACGGTATGATATACAACAGTAATCCTGTTCTTACAAGCGTTGGAAAATTACTCGCACAAGTGCAGTACTGCACAGTCCAATCCGCAGGTCCGGTACATGGTCCTTGTTAGGACACCACCGCCAGTTGCAAGAGCTTTGCGGACTTGAGCACGAATTGAATTTGTAATTTCTAAATTTTTGATGCTTTATTACTTTGGAGTAGAATTGAGTGTAGCAAGTGAAAGAGCCATAGAGACACTAACTATTGACTATCGAGTTCATGGTAACTTACCGTACTCGTAGTTTACTAGTACTCATTTCTCTTGACAGTTTTGTGCTGTGAGCTAGGTTACTTTCAAGTTAGGGCTAGCTGGTCAAAAAAATCTTGCTGACTTGGATGGTGTAATAGAAGGCTTGGGCAACAGGACCTTGGTGGCAGTTGACTGGAAAGACACCTGGGTCACCAAATGAATCTGTGTATCAGGTATAAATAGCTTGACAGCTAGATGATAATATGTTATCACTCTCAGATATGTGGAATTATAGATGTTATACAACTACACTCAGTATTAGGAATACCAGAACCTGATACCTGGGAACCATCCTAAGTAGGGTAACCCCACTCGGAATCGGAATCTCTGGTCTCCAACACCCCCCTCCGGCTCCCTTATGGGGCCCACGAGTCATCGTATATATTAATCTCAGTTGCATCCTGTGACTATATTACCACAGGATTGAAGGTGTTAAAATAACACCATATACGTCGTCGCCATCTGTCCAACCAGATCCTGTTTGCATAATATATGAGAGGGGACCTTCGACTAGGTCTGAGAAATAGAATGGAGTAATTCCGTCAACTACTCAGAGAGTTACTTAGCTTCAAAGACATGACACCTTTGGTATGGGCCGTAAGTAACAGGACGATTTTGCATAAAGAGATGGTATCAAATGGTAAAGGATCTCTACTAGAGACCAATACATTTACATCCACCAGAAGAGTCTAGAACTCCAAAAGACACTACCAAAGAAGCCAACGAACTTCACGGAGTGTTGCAACTGGGTTTCGGAACAAGTCGTAACCATGGGGTGATCCTTAATACTACAATGGTTACTGAAACCTACTACCCAGAGAGCAACCAAGGGTTGCTGACCGAGGGATTAATTACCAATCTGGCGGAATAGCTTCCTGCGAGTTAATAGGAAGTTATTCAGAGAAAATCTATCGGTTGGATATGGAGTTACAAAGGATCAGAGTCAGACGACCTGTGATGGTTGTAATGACGACCACCTTTGCAGATATAGCCATGGATAAAACTGATCATTCTATCAATGGCGAAGACAATTGGGGCCAACTCAGTTCGACTTAAGAACTAGGCCATAAGTCTAAAGACTCTGCTAATCGGGATATTACTATTGGGGATGGCACATTTTCTAAGAAGAAATATCGTAATTATCAAAGAGGGTGTGATCGTTTTCAGGGTCCACAGGTGTTCGCACCTTGGAAGAAAACTCGATGTCGCGAATTACAAATGAAGAAGTACATAGTTGTATGATAAATAGATGTAGTCTGCGAACACTCTGACGCGGAATATAAATATTGAAGTGCCTCCCAAGCTTTAGACATTATCAAGCAACGGAGAAGAGACCTTAACAATATAATATTATTTTTACGATTCTACCCTACTTTACCTATTTTACTTTGCTCCGAGTAGTCATAAATGAATTGAGTAAAGTCCGAGCCTTCCTAGACAATCTCCGTCTACAGAAACGAATCTCGATTGGCCTAGACAACCTTGAAGTCTATCAAGTTGTT